TTGAATCATAACCCCTACAACCTCTACAGATTTACAATTTAATGTCCCAACATTCCAAGTACCAAATCTAATTTTGCTCTTATGGACTAACTTCTTTAGCCGCGTGCGTCCAGAATGACGCGGTAGCCCTTGCTCATTTAACACTACATCCGGGCGCCGATGCAGCGGCTCTAACTCACTTATCACTGTACTCGAGCCATGCAGCGCGTTACTTACGGGCAACGACCTAGCATTAACATTATAACGTCTATTGTCCATGTTCATGATAGATTCAACAAATTTTTACATTGGCTGTTGATGGCCTAACACAACCCTCCTCCTTTACCCGGGCTTGGGACCGGCTATAAACATAGGCGGAGTTTTATTTATTTATTTTTTTTTAAAAGATAAACCCAACAAATACGAGTATGGTCATCAATGAAAGAAATGAACCATTTCGTTTGAAGACGGTTTAGAGTACGAGATGATCCCCACAAGTCACTGTGAATGGCTGTGAATGGTTTGGTAGGTGCATTTGGCTCTTGGAAAGGAAATGCGATGGTGTTTGGCAAGTTCACACACCTCACACTGGATTTCACTATGATTCATGTTTGGGCATAAGATTGGAAACAATTGTTGAAGGTAATGGAAATTAGGATGACCCATCCTCTTATGTTATAACATAAAATCATTAACTTTAGAGGTAGACACATAATTACTAACAATAGATGAGTTATCCACTCGAGTAATGACTTCTAAATAATAAAGCCCCTCGTACTCCTTAGCATTACCAATTTTCACATCAGATGATAGATCCTAGAATACACAATGTGACAGAAGAAATTTAGCAAAACAATTTGAGTGCTTAGTCAATTGACTAACTGAAAGTAAATTGCAATCAAGTCTTGCCATATGGAAGACAGATTCCAAAACAATAGAATATGATATACGGATACTCCCTCTTCCCGCCACGAGTGCTAAGGAATCATCTACAATTTTCACTTTAACATTCCTAGTATATGGGTTATAAGTGGTGAACAATTGATGGCAGTTAGTCATATGGTCAAATGTTCCGGAATCCACAATCCACACCACCACACTTTGAGTTGTCTTTAAAGCCTGAAGAAAAGACCCTTTTTTTGACACTAATGCTATCAGTGAAGATCTAGAAAAATTAGTGATAACACCATATAGGAGTATCCATAGCACTTTAAATAAGAGAAAGACTTCGTGATAGATTGAAACCTGAAGCCACAGCCTAATATAACTCAAAACACAGCAAAACAAGGCACTAACAACACCATACGGACTAATATGGTTTGAAAACAATGTACCCATACACCGGAGTTGTATGGATTTGGCCGGAGAGAGTGCGTCATCGCTATTCGACGAGGTCATGGCCTGAATAGAGCTACCAAACACCACCAAAAGCTCTTTGACGCAGTTCGTAGGGGTGGCGAGTGGGGTCCACACGTGCCACCGTTCATCATCATCGTCCTAGATTTCGCAGTTTCGAACGTCCTGAGCACGTCTAGGGTGGCGGTGAGAGTCTAAACTTACTCCACCATTGTCCACACAAATGCCCTTACATACTGTCCAAGAAGTCTCATGTCAACTATTCCAAAACTAACCTAATTTGGATATTGGGCTTGATGCTCTGATACAATGTGGTGTTTTTGAGAGAGGGAAAATTGTATTTCTCATTTATCTATTTTCAAATGTACAGGCAAGTCCTATATATATACATCAAGAGAGATAAAACCTAACAAATACTAATAAAACCTAATGAATAATGCTAATAAATGCTAATTATTAACAATAATAACATAATATTTCCACGTTATATTTTTTCCCAACTATACCTACTAAATAAAATTGGCTACATGTATTACATGACACTATTGTGCTCTATCAACAACCACGCCTTTGTGTATATTATTAACCAAAAGATCTCATTCAACGACTTTAAAGTATTTTCTTTGATCCTTCTCTACCCCTCTTCACATAACTCAAGACTACCTATTCCACTCTTTTCATTAGCACCTCCAACAACCTTTTTTACACATGTCGAAACCATCTCAAAACAATTTTTTACCATCTCTTCAATAGATGCCACACCAACCTTTTCTTGTACATGTTCATTATGGATCTTATCTTTTTTTGTATACCCACATATCTATTTTAACATTCTCATCTTTGCTACTCCAACATTATGCACTTGTCCCTTTAAAGCCTAATATGCACTACCATATAACTATTTTATAATACTAATAAACAATTATGCTTAAAAGTATACATCATTTTCACGAAACTATTTGTGGACGCAGCCTTGCCTGACCACAATTATTAGGTATGAGCTAGATCAATTTTGAATGATGAATGAGCACAGAATTACACATCTTTATTGTAGTTACATCCCTATAATTGTATGAATATTGTTTCATATTGATTTTTAATACTTGCACATTGTATTTTGATGCTTGAATTTTGTATTTTAAGTGTCATGCATTCAAGACATGGGAAAACTATAAGGAGCTGTATGATGATAGGTGCCAAGCTATGAAACCTATGTGATGAAATTAACACAGATGCAGATTGAAAATTTCTGTAAGTTGTTTAAGATTGTTGGAAATTATTTTGATTTTAATTCATTTATTCTGATTGCTTTGTTTAAGGATAATTTCTTTTCTTCAGTCATTTTTAATAATCTTCCTAAATGTTCGAGATTAGCTTATATATTCTATTTTAATAAGAATTGAGCTATCCTATTTGATGAGGATGAAGTTACAATGTTTAGACTTGGATTTTCACAAAACCTACCGCACCTCTTGAAGTGTCTAACTGTCTAACCTAGAAACCATGATGAACTAGATTTGCCTATACGCTCATAAAAGAGTAGAGGTCATGCATTAAACATTCTACATATGAGTACATCTCAAATGACAAGTTGTCTCTTGGTTATTGAGTTTCGAAGCTAATATTTCAAGTGAGCAGATTCCAACAAATATTAATGAACTGCAAACTGCAAACAGAGTAGAGCTGTTAAAGATGAGATGAATGCCCTTTGTTATGATTAGGGTAGAACAGCTCTAATTTTATTCATAAGATGTGTTCACATATATAGAAGAGATGAGAGGAAGAGAATCTACACAAATCACCTATATCTCTCCTGTAATCTTGGCAAATCAAATCAAATGTTGATAAGAGATAAAATCAAATATTAATAACATATAGCAAATCTTATTTAAGTAAGGAAAAATAAGTCTAATCTTGATATGGGCCTATGGTGGCAGGCCCTCATCCAATAGACCAACACTCCCCCTCAAGCAAGTGAATAGATATTAATCATTCCTAGCTTGCTTCTGAGACCTTCAAATTTGTTTTGGGTCAAGGATTTGGTCATAATGTCTGCAATCTAGTTCCCTCAAGGGATGTAAGATAGATCTATCACCTTAGCTTCAATTTTTTCTTTCATGAAGTGCCCATGCTTTATGTGGTCATGTTGAACAAGATTGTTAGCAATCTTTATGGCTGATATATTATCACACCATACCTTAATTGAATAATTTGGATCAACCTTCAATTCCCTCAAGAGACAAATGATTCACATCCCTTCACATATTCCTTATGACAAGGCTCAGTACTCTGATTCTGCTGAACTTCTTAACACTACCAGTTGCTTCTTACTCCTCTAGGTCACTAGATTTCCCCACACATAGGAACAATACCCAATAGTTGATCTTTTATCACTCTTTCAACCTCCCCAATCTGCATCAGTGAATAATTCAACATTTCTAATGACATTCTTTACAAGAAAAAAAAATAGTCCTTGCCGAGAGTCTTCTTCAAGTATCAAAGAATTCTATAAACTATTATTAGTGTTCCTTTTGAGGAGGACTAGAGAATTGACTTAAAACACTAACTGGAAAGCACCTTTCTCGATCAACAATCTATTTGTAGTATTCCCCATCTTTCTGAAAAGTCCATTCATAGAGCGCGTAAATATCAATTTGTTGCCATAACCTTATAAGAGCATTGTAATATTAAGTGATAGATTGCTCTCCTTACAAGAGATTTCAAAGCAATCGCTTCACTTGAAAGATGGAAGCTGTGTTCTCCTTGACTGAGTAGGTGCGCTTCTCAAATTCCCATATTTCTTTGGCTACAATTGCCAATGGGTAATTTTCACCAATCTCAACGATCATAGAATTCACGAGCCAGGCCATAACCATATTGTTTTCTACTTACCAAGACTCGAACTTGGCATCTGTAATTACTAGAGGATTCTCTATGAGGTATTTCTTGCAATTTTTTCCTCAAACAAACAGCAAAATATGTCGCAATCACTAGAGGTAGTTGTTGCCATTGAGAGGATGAACGAGCATAGCTTGCGAGAATGAATCGTTCCCTAAACTCAATGTCCTGAAGGGAAAGTTCATGTTATGTGTGTTCAAACCAATACCTTGTGAGTCCTCGTTGGCCAACGATATTGTGCCATTGCTTGTGGTAAGGACTCGCGGTTGGTTTGTTAAAGCTAGCCTATATGCCATTGATCACAAATCAAAGTTCTAATACCATGTTATAATTAAGGTAGAACAGCTCTAAAGCGTTTACATATATAGAAGAGATGAGAGGAAGAGAATCTACACATATCACCTATATCTCTGCTATAATCTTGGCAAATCAAATCAAATGCTGATAAGAGATAAAATCAGATATTAATAACAGATAACATATCTTATTTAAATAAGGAAAAATGGGTTTAACCTTAATATGGGCCTACGGCAGCAGGCCCTCATCCAACACCCAACTAAACTAGAAGCTTATTGACTTACCAAAAGGGAAGAAAGTTCTTGGGAACAAGTGGATATTTACTATCATATATAACCGATAAAAGCATTCCTCATCATAAGTAGTGCTGGTGGCTCAAGTCCTCATATGACATGAACAATAACAAACCCAACCTTGATAAAGATAACCCAAGATATGAGCAAAAGCACAAATAAATACATAAAGCTCACCGTGTATCAAAGAAAGGTTTCTTCAAGTGCTTTTCTAAAAGTTTCCGTGCATGCTCCCTGACCTGTAGATCAGTCAATTAAAACTTTGAACAATATCAGAACATGCCATAGAAAATGTGAGGGAATGGTTAGCAAGGTGTAGTTAAAGTCAGATTACAGATTATATAATATATGCTGACAACATTACTCAAGAACATTAAAGACCATGGATTTCAATTGTGTAAGTATCTTTTACTCAAAGAGGTATTAAAGATTTTTTTTTAAGGGGGGGTGTGGGGCATAACGATTTAGAGAAGTGTTTTTTAAGTTAAAGAAAGAGTAACTACTCATGCAGCCACATTTAATGGTAGAAATGTCTGAGTGGTCATGATATTTATATGGATGAAGGTTTAGGAACCAATTTTGATATGTACAACATTTTCAAGTCTTGCAATGATATATTTTGTTTGGTTGATTTAGTTTCCCCCAAACTTTAGGTTTCCCTGTTTTGTCAACACAGTATTTGCACCTGGATATCATTCACCTTGAATCAAGCCCTAGATTAACTACTTCCGGCAAAGAAAAAAATCGAACAAGTTTAACAGAGTTCAGGTGGTTGAGTGGTTGGCTTGTTTGCTAGTACCAGGATGCCATTTGTTGTGTTTTCCATATTTTGGTGAAAATGTGAGTTATTCTTTATCATAGTTTAGTTTACACAACCTATAAAAAATTGTGGGTTGTTGAATAGCGTTTGCCTATTGTTATTGATTTTATTAAAGTGATATTTTGATTTATATATCTAGATAACTGGCATGCGCAATAGAGATCAACTTTTAACAAATTATGTGGAAGTAAATGATTGCAAGCTTGGCATCCCAATTGAGAAGATCATATGCACTTCTAGTCACCACAGAAATTACTTATCCCTTTCATGTACAGGAAAAAAATGAGAGAGGAGTTGAATCCCCACTTTCTTATCATTAACTTACAAAAATGAGAGAAATTACTTTTAGTCAGTCAATAGACTAAGTGGACCTTATTCAGTCAAAAGACTAACAAAAAATATCACAAGGCACAATTAAAGACCATGGCTATACAAGATATAAAGCATATGCACATTTCTTACCTGAGTGAAAATTATTATAATAATAAAGTTGAGGCAATTAGTGTGAATGCTACATTTATATAATAATAATGCGAATGCTACTTGTGTGTGTCTGTATGATTATCAATTGCACTTCAGCGCACTGCAATGCAATACAATGTGTACTGTGGAGATATTGTATTTATTGTAAATATTATTATCTGATTATTAGGAGTCAATAGGATTTATTAGAATTATTAGCATTTATTAGCCATTTATTTGCTTGTCTCCTAGCTTTGTGTATATATAATCTTCTATATCCTACTATTATGATCATATTTCTCCTCTCAAAAATCCCACATGGTATCAAAGCTCATTAGATCAAAACCCTAGCTGGTTTTTTGTTCTGCCGTATAGCCCAGTTTCAAACTAGCTGACGGACATAACCCTAATGGAGGACGAGAGGCACCATTGGATCTCACCGCCGACCAAGGAAGGACTAGAGACCTCCGATCGGCGCAACCCCGAAGTTTGGCGTCCGTCGACGGCGTGTGGCTGTCACACGCGCCACTCGTCCAATCTGCGTCAGAGGGAGAGTCCGAGCGCGTGGCGGCACGTGGTGAGCTGTTTCCGGCAACGACGACTTGTTCTGGCAACGATGGACCATTTCCGACCTAGTCTCAGCATTTTCCTGCTATGGGTCTTCCAAGCCTTCGCCTTGTTCGTTGAATGTGCATACTGTCAGAACAAATTGGACCTAAAGAACACAAATACCCAAAAATTTCTAAGGGAAATAGGACTTCTAATCCTAGAAGTGGTATGTCTTAGTCTTCTTGATTTGATTTGTATCCGTTTGCTCATAAGCTTTCGACAATGGATGATGAAACTTGCAAAACTGTCATCAAAAATTGTTGAATCTGATGCACTATGTGTTAGTCAAATTCCACAGTCAGTCTCTGTCTTCTTTGCACAAAGAGGTAATTTTCTTCAAGCCTTAAAAACGTCGAGGGCTGAAATAGTAGGATCGTAGACTCTAGCGCATCAGATCACATAACCGATAACCACCAATTATTTTCTACATATACTACATGTGCTGGAAATTTGAAAGTCAAAATTGCAGATGGGTCTCTTGCTTCTATTGCGGGGAAAGGGAGTATTCGTATCTCTGAATCTATCACTCTATAATCTATTCTTCATGTACCAAAATTAGTGTGCAATTTGTTGTCTATTAGCCAACTAACAAAGCAATCTAAATGTTGTTCTAATTTTCTTCCAACCCATTATGCCTTTCAGGATCTATCATTGGGTATGACAATTGGACGTGCTAAAGAGTGCGAGGGACTCTACTTCCTTAAGAATGCTAGAGTGAGTCACCATCAAGCCACGAATGTATGTAACTCTATATCGACCTCTAAAGATACAAATATTCTGTTATGGCACAAGAGGATAGGGCATCCTAATTTTCATTATTTATCTCGTTTGTTCCCAAACCTTTGCCCTACCAACCATGATGTCAAATGTGAAGTGTGTGAACTAGCAAAGCACCAACGAACATCATTTCCCAGAACACCGTATACACCCACCAAACCATTTGTTACCATACATAGTGATCTATGGGGTCCATCTCGTATCCCAAAACGCACCAAATCAAAATGGTTCATTACCTTCATCGATGAGCATACTCGTGTTTGCTGGGTGTATCTCCTAAAAGACAAGTTTGAAACTGCATCCGTATTTATCAACTTCTTTACCATGATAAAAACCCAATTCAACACAAATATCCAAGTTCTACATACTGACAATGGTACTGAATATTTTAACCAAGTCTTGAGTACCTTTCTTCACAAGCATGGCATTATCCATCAAAGCACTTGTGCCCATGCACCCTAACAAAATGGGATTGTAGAAAAGAAAAATAAACATATTCTTGAAGTGGCTAGGGCCCTCATGTTCACCCATAATGTCCCAAAGTTTTATTGGGGGGATGTCATCTTAACTGCAACCTATCTCATCAATCGAATGCCTAGTCGTATTTTGTCTTTTGATACTCCTCTTCAAAAATTGCAAAGTATTTTCTCCACATCTCATATTGAAACCAACATCCCTCTTCGTGTCTTTGGGTGTACAGCCTTTGTTCACATCCATCAATCTAGTAAACTTGGACCTCGTGCTACAAAATGCATATTCCTTGGTTATTCCCCTACTCAAAAGGGATACAAACGTTTCGATCCTATTTCCAAACACATGTTTGTAAGCCTTGATGTTACTTTTCATGAAGATATGCCCTTTTACCCTAATTCTTCAATTCAGGGGGAGAGTATAGGTGAATCTCAGACTTGGGAACAAGAGATTAACAAAGAAAAAGTGCTTCCTTATTCTTGGTCCATACCAGCAGAGTCATTGCCACCTCAATTACTAGAACCATCACTCTCACCCAAACCCTTACCACCATCACCATCTCTTGTGCCAGTCACAGAAGATAATTCAACATCAGGGGGAGATATAGAGAGGCAAAAAGACAAAGACTTGTTGGTTTATTCTCGAAAGCATAAATCCAAGGAAGGAGAGCAACTTGTATTTGAAACACCAAAGGAGTCAGAACTAATGGTAACTCCTTAATCACCTCAGCAAAGTCCTAAACAGGTGAGTGTTCAATCTAATCTTGATTTACCCATTGCTCTCAGAAAACAACCTCGCTCTTGTACTTTGCACCCAATACAAAAGCACATATCCTGCAAGGCTCTTTCTCCAAGTTATCGTGCTTTTGTCACTAGTCTAGATAAAGTTGTTGTTCCTAACAATATTGAAGAGGCATTGGAAATACCAGAATGGAGAAATGCAGTCATGGAGGAAATAATAGCCCTAAAGAAGAATGGAACATGGGAGATTGTTCAAAGGCCAAGTGGCAAGAAGCTTGTAAGCTGCAAGTGGATTTTCACCCCAAAGTACAAGGCTGATGGAACTCTTGACAAGTTAAAAGCACGCTTGGTAACAAGATGGTTTACTTAGACATATGGTATCGACCACATAGAGACTTTTGCACCACTGGCAAAATTAAACACCAATAGAATTCTCTTATCCGTAGCAGCTAATCTAGAATGGCCACTCCATCAGCTTGACATCAAGAATGCTTTCCTAAATGGAGAACTAAAAGAAGAAGTTTACATGACTCCACCACCAGGATTTGATAGAGGCAGAGGTGATCAAGTATGCAGATTGAAGAAATCTCTATATGGCCTAAAGCGGTCTCCTAGGGCATGGTTTGACAGATTCTCAAAAGTCCTCAAGCGAGAAGGCTATAAGCAGGGATTGTCAGACCATACAATGTTTGTTAAAGTTGAGGGAGGTAAAAGGTGTATCCTTATTGTATATGTTGATGACATTATTCTTACAGGAGATTATCTTGAGGAAATCACAAGAGTAAAGGTTGTTCTAGGCAAAGAATTCAAGGTAAAAGACCTTGGTGCCTTGAAATACTTCCTTGGGATGGAAGTTGCGAGGTCAAGGAAAGGTATTTATGTATCTCAGAGGAAGTATATACTTGATCTTTTGAAGGAAACAGGTATGTTAGGTTGTAGGCCAGCTGAAACCCTTATTGTAGTTCCGAAGAAAAAGAAGCCTAAGAAGAATAAGAAAGAGTCAAAAGAAGAAGCTGATTCTTATGATGAGGTTGAAGAAGAAGACAATGAGAATGAAGAGGCCACTAATAAAGAGAGATATCATAGGCTTGTCAGGAAGTTGATTTACCTCTCCCATACAAGATCGGATATTGCCTTTATAGTAAGTATGGCTAGCCAATACATGTCTGAACCGAAGAAGCATATGGAAGCAGTCTATAGGATCTTGAGATATTTAAAGGGTACTGCTGGTAGGGGGTTATTCTTCCAGAAACAAGAACAGAGAACCATAGAGGTCTACACAGATGCAGATTGGGGAGGAACTCATCCTAATAGAAGATCAACTTCTGATTATTGTTCCTTTGTTTGGGGGAACTTGGTTACCTGGAAGAGTCAAAAGCAAAGGGTTGTTTCTAAGAGTAATGCTGAGTCCGAGTTAAGAGCTTTGGCTCAAGGAATAATGGAAGAGTTATGGCTGAAACGAATCCTAGAAGAGATACATGTCGAAGTGGACTCACCATTAAAACTTTATTGCGACAATAAGGCAGCTAAAAGCATGGCCTTAAATCCTGTTCAACATGAGAAATCAAAACATGTGGAGGTGGATAGACATTTCATCAGAGAAAAGGTGGAAGAAGGAATCATATGTTTGATTTATTTACCTACAAACCTTCAAGCTGTAGATGTTTTGACTAAAGGATTACACAAGCCCGCATTTGGAAGTTGCATAAGCAAGTTGGACATGATTAACATCTATGATCCAACTTGAGCCATCTATGATCCAACTTGAGGGAAAGTATGGAGATATTGTATTTATTGTAAATATTATTATCTGATTATTAGGAGTTAATAGGATTTATTAGAATTATTAGCATTTATTAGCCATTTATTTGCTTGTCTCCTAGCTTTGTGTATATATAGTCTTCTATATCCTACTATTATGATCAATGAAAAATCATATTTCTCCTCTCAAAAATCCCACATGTACTAACTGGTCCAAAGAAACTTAAGATAGCTCATTCAAGTCAAAATTCATTGGCTACATTTGATAAAAGGGTTTCTGATGTAACCTTGAGATATGGTCAGATTTATAAGAGGAGATCTAGGGAGCAGGTGGGTGTAGAAAAGAAATACCCAATGGATCAAAGTTAATATCCTTAGGGTCCAAAAATTAAGGATTAAGTCATGATGTATGGTAAGGTGGCTTAGATTCAGTCTGAATACATGGGTCACCTTTTTGGCTTTCTTATTTTGTTGTTGCTGTTTTGGGGAGCACTCAAGAATGTTGTGAAAAGCTAGTCAGAAGGAAGGAGAGTGCTGGTCTCTCAAACACTAGTGAGAGGCTGTGTTCTTATTGCTGTGTTATTTCTTTTGTTGTAATTTTCATCCATAGGGAATAGGGTTTTGGCCAGAATCAGTGAGCTTCTCTTTTGTAACACTGATTCGGTTTCTAAGTCTTAATATCAAAATCCTCAGAATTTCCCTCATTTATTTCCTTCTTGCATTTAAGTTCTGTTGAAAGTAATTAATATAGAGCAGAGATCTATCAGTTTCACTTCCTATCTCTCACATTCCATAATGATGCGACTACATGTGAGTGAAATACACAAGGCAGTAGCAAGATTATCACATTCTTATCACTCAAAAAATATAAAACAGTGATTTACGTATGAGAATTTCCTTGATCATCTTAGATTACCTTGCAATATTGTCTGTAATAGGGATCCTCTCAATTTATCCAGAATCAAACATGCCAATTTCAGAGAAAGCACAAAGTTTGTAAGGCCTGCTTGAAGAGTGGGTCCCACCTGGACCCCATATGCTGTGTGTCTAACTATTTTTGTAATTGATACTATTAATTTCAATGAGAAATTAAGAGGAATCCCTTCTTGATGTCTACCAAGGACCTAGAAAGCGTAAGCATTTTTTACTTCTAGACAGAAGTTTCTGAATAAAATTCTCAACGTTCTTACAAGATTAAATTTGGAAGCATCAACACTTGCACATGCCTGATGGCACAACTAAATCAGAATCAGAAGTATCCATATATGCTTTAAAGTTTCAAATTATGTCTAATACTAGTGTCTGAGATGTGACGGATACTAACACAACTTCATGAAAGTGTTTGTGCTTCAAAGCATTATTGTTGAAATTCAAGCATGAACTAGCTCACCCTGTTCTCCATAGAGCAAAGTGCAAATTTCCAGCCAGCAATCCGAGTGACATTACACAGAAGAGCATCAATCCACTCACTCTTCCCTGAATTGGGAACCCCGGTTACTATAGTTAACTCCCCTGGCACGACCTGATATAAGTAATACAGAATACAACAAAACAGAATAATCCATCACCGCTCAATAGAAAGAGTTTTATCATTATGTATCAACTGTTAAGTGATAACCATTATCTTTATTAAACAGTATTTTAAAACTAGACCAAATAAATAAGCATAAAACATGGATGGCTAATGTGCTTCATACAAATTAAGATCTGGAATCATGAACACAATTTTAGCAATCTAACATATCTAATATTAAACTTGTTCCCTTTTACATCCACTAAAGATTGTGTGGAGTCTTCATAGTACTGTCAAAGATGCATCTTATTAACTGCCCAATAAATTATACACTATGCAACTCCATGCCTGATGAAAATCATAAACCATTCGTTTCTTTTATTACACCAGATTGCAAGAAACAAGAACAGTGCAGGCTGTGCAGAAAATTAAGGAAATGTCAAAAGCATAAAAGCAATGTCAAATGCTAATGCAAAATATAGGGAAGCAACAGGTTTAGTCAAGAAAATTTCGTTATGAAGAATACAAACATTTGCGCACTGTTTCTGTCCATATTATAAATTCTTGAGACGTGAGAAATGGTTAGAAACTCATGAGTGTCCACTGTTATTTATATTTAGATTTATGCTTCTTTTGCTTAACATATCATAAATTTCATTTAAATTATGTTCGGTACCTGGAAACCTAAATGCACATTTTTTTCCAATAACCTGAATGTAAATTGAGAACAATTTAGCTCTGTTATCCAAGACGTCAGGAGTCTCAAGAATCACTTCATTCACACTATAGACAACCTAGAATTAATACAAGATCCTTATTATTTGTGGTGTATTTTATTCAATAAATAGTTTAGCAAGTCAAATTTATAAAACATAAAATTACAGCTATCAAAGTTAACAATATAGAAATGCAATAAATTGCAATTACATTGTACAAATAATCAAGATTTCTCCACCCTGTTGAGACACCAAACTCATAACCTAAGGTTCGATGATAATATGCATCAATCTCATCAAAGAAGTCCCTGAAATTAAACAATCCACGTATGGGATATAATTCTGCATTCTCAATCGTTTCCCTCAGTGCACCAGCACCTAAATACATGAGAACCTGTAAATAAATCATGAAGTATAAGGTCGGTACATTGATCATTGAGCAAATTACAGACAAACAACTTCTAATGGCTCTTCATGACAAGTTGGCTAGATAGTGCAGATAATGTGTATTTCTCTGCATGCACGCGCGCGTGCAAATCCAAGCTCTGCGAGATGCAGTAACTAGTGTAAAGCGTAATATCAGTTTAGCCCTACGTTTGGATCAAGAAGAATGGGTGGGATAAGTTAAATATTAATTTTGACATTGTCTTTGAGTTAGATCAGAAGAAGAGAAGAGAAGACAAACAAATAGTGAAAGAATAATCCATTTAGCTGCTGTGCTCTATTCAGTATATTTTCTTTACATATAGGCCACAGGAGAACAGAAATTATGTAGAAATTCAAGGTTTCAGCCACATTGACAGGGATTAGGGACCAAAACAGGGATGCTAATTTCCATGCTAGATTTTCTCATACCTTGGACAATAGTTTTTGTCTCTTTGATTATCATACATGCCCCAAACTTAGGAATGGAGGATAATGGAAGAGTCTAGCTTTTTATTTTTCGTTTTTTATGCCTGACCTTCTATACTTGTTAGTTGGTTGATATTGATATCCACTTTTTATTCAAAAAAAAAATCTAGGTTTAATTTCATTCTCAACTTTATTAGTATTAGATATTGTAGCTATTATTATCAATTGAATGAGCAATAATTAGCTAATAGTTTACCCGAGGAAATAGGTATGAGGTCAGGTTTTCAATCCCTTTTGCAAAACTCCCTCTGGTCTTGTATAGATCACCTTCTCAAAGGAATTGATAGTGCTTTTCATAAGCCATGTTACATAAAAAGATTGATCATTAATTACTTTCTTCCAATTTTACCCTTTGGCAATTTTCTAGGATTAGAATAAAATGTTACATATGAGGAACAAAATGTTCTTAAAAATGATGCACTTAATAAGGGTAAACTACAAAATTTATTTCTTTTTCAAACAGCATCAATAATTTTACTGCCCTTTCTTGATTCTGGTGAGATAGCTAGAAGTGATTTACATATAGGACCACGGGGATAGATGATAACTCTGTATAGATTTCAGTAAAATGACGAGTGTATAGATTTCCAGTTATAACATAGTATTTATAGATGATATAAACGAAACCATACTTTTGTCATCTTTGTATTAGAAAACTATACGGTTGCTATATTTTAATGGAAAAATCTAGCAAAGATACAAAAATATGATTCAAGTTTAATCTGAAAACATAAAACTGAATGAAAATAAAGGAAATATAAAAACAGAAACAATAAAGCAAACCAAAAGATATCCAACAAAAATATTATGTTGTTCTCATGTGGATAACATCCAAAATCTGACAGGATCTGAATACTCCTTCCAGTCCTATTTATAAACTACGTCCAACATATTTCATCAAAACCAAGAAAAACCTTAAATCTCATTAATTATCTAAAAATTCAACAAGTTTCTAAATCTACCCCTATAAAATATACACTTCAAAATAAAATACTCCAACATTTAATAACCTTCCTAGTATTTACTAGGAGCAAAAGGGTAAAGATTGACACAAAAATCATATAGGTACCCCATAAATAAATATTCTCTTCCTGCCCTATAAATAAGACTAGGGAGTATACATATAGATATAGATATAGATATCTATATATGCTTTTTTATATTTTCAGCACAAGATTTGCTGCAGCAAATTTGAAGAAACATCCATTTCATCATTCTTTCATTGATAAATGCATGTGGTAAAGAGGGGGAGGGACTTACGAAACATGCTGATAATTACCTCATTTGCATCTTTGAACTGAACCGACCCCGATTTCTTTGGCCACTTGACCCGCCAGCATCTGCAAGCACACAAAAAAAAAATAAAAAAAAATAAAATGGGAAGGTTACTCTTCTCTTATATTAGGAAGAAAATTTTTGGATAAAGGAAAAGTTATATTAGAAACTAAAAGGAGCAAAGTTGGAGGATAAGTCCATGCACACAGCACTAAAGAAAATTGTGAAATAGGATAAATTAGAGATTAATTATTATTTATTACTCCTAATTTATAGGGATGTGATTAGCCAAGAATATGGGGGTAAATAAGGAATTTGATCTGATTTTATTTTTTTCCCCTTATAACTGATACATGTGCACTATATATATCACACACATTGTAATGAGATACTCAACTATTCTGATCCAAAAAGCCTACATGGTATTAGAGCTTAGCGACTCTGACTTGGACAACTCAATGGGATGCTCAACGCGAGGAGAGAGCAAAGTCAAGCAGCCCTAGAACCTCTTCTATGGGTCTTGGCGCCAAGGTTCCTCCATTGCACACCCAAGGCAAAGCTCTGCACAGGTTGAGCTCTGCCGTCGATAGGTCTTTTGTTTTGATTGTGTCCAAAAAATTCAATAGGCAACTTGGGCTTCATCACCGGTACCTCTATTTCTCTAGATCTGACACTAAGGTCAAGTAGAAGTGGGAGACCGAAAATGCAATGGAGGCTTCATGGCTAATCACAGCCATGTCCTCACAGGTTCGACGCTCATATATGTCCTTACCAATCGTGAAAGATATCTGGGATGTTGTTCGAGAATCATACTCAGATGGTGAAGATGATGCCAGAATATATGATCTGAAAACAAGAAGTTGGCAGATCAAACAAAGTGATCATGATCTCATAGAGTTCTGGTTGGAACTCATTGCAATGTGGCAGGAGATTTATCTCAACAAAGAAGAGGAGTGGTCATGTCCTTGTGATGCTGCAAGGTACAAAAAATGTGTTGAAGATGAGCGTGTGTTTCAATTTTGGGCTAGTCTTCATTAGTCATTAAATGATGTTCACAACAGAATCTTAGCTCCCTCTCCATTACCCTCAACTTGTGATGCCTTTGCTGAAGTTCGTAGAGAAGCTTCTTATCGAAAGGTGATGCTTAATGACTCTCCTTTAGTTTCTTCTTCATCTAAATCCTTTGCTTTGGTCAGCAAGAGTCTTGATCATCGATCAAAGGATACAAAAGGGAAGGTGTCATGTGATCATTGTAAGACTGGACATATAAAGGACAAGTGTTAGGATCTCCATAGGAAGCTTGCTGATTGGAAACCACGCAAAGGAAAGGCATGTGGGTACCAAGCTACTCTTTGACACTACATCAGACAGACCTAGTTCTATGCCCACTATCGATAGAGACCAATTAACTATGCTTCTAGAAATGTTAAATAATCTACAACGATCAAAAGCTTCATCTCAAACTATACATAATGCTTCTATGGCTATGAAAGGTAATAGTAATTATGCTTTGAATGCATCTTTCCATAAATCTTGATGAATTGTTGATTCTGGTGCCTCAGATCATATGACTGTGGACTCTACTTTGTTTACATCTTATTCTCCATGTAGTTGGCATGAAAAAATTGATATTGCTAATGGAACTTTTTCTATTGTTGGAAAGGAAAGCATAAGTATCTCTGATTTTTTATAATTAGTTTCAATTCTTCATATTCCATATCTAGCTTGTAACTTCTTGTCTATCAGCAAATTGACTAAGCAAGCCCATTATAGTGCTCATTTCTTTTCTACCAATTGCATTTTTCAAGATCAATCATCGAGGTTGATGATTGGCAGTGCTAAAGAATGTGATGGGCTCTACTACCTTGGTGAATCAACTGAGTAATCTTTGATCTTGAATTCGGTGCAATCTTGTGTCCGCCTTTAAGAATAATGACCTTTTGTTATGGCATAAAAGAATAGGTCATCCCAATGTCCAGTATTTAAGTCATTTGTTTCCTCAAATTTCATCAAATAAAATTTCTAGTTTTTATTGTGACACTTGTGAATTGGCAAAACACCACCGTTCTTCTTTTCCCTGCTCTGATTACAAAGCATCTAAACCATTTTCGGTTATTCATAGTGATGTTTGGGGCCTTTCGCGTATTCTGAATCAAACTCAAGCCAAATGGTTCGTTGCCTTTGTAGATGATTATAGTCGTGTCTATTGGGTATATTTACTCAGAAAAATCTAAAGTGACCTCTATATTCATTGAATTCTACACCATAATTCTAAACTAATTTCACACCTCAATACAAATTCTTCAATCCGATAATGGCACTAAATACTTGAACAAAAACATGAGTGATTTTTTTTAAAGCAAGAGGCATAGTTCATAAAACATCTTGTGCACAGCCCTCAACAAAATGGAATTGCCGAGCAGAAAAATAAACACATATTTGAAGTTGCCCGTGCCCTTATGTTTACCATTCAAATGCCAAAAATTTTTTAAGGTGATGCTATTCTAACTCCACCTATCTTATCAACCATATACCAAGCAAGGTGTTATCCTATGTAACCTCTCTTGAGTGCCTCTGTGAGACACATTTACTTAAACACCTTGAAACTAATCTCCCATTATGAATATTTGGGTGTTCAGCCTTTATTCATCTTAAATCCACGTCCAAACTTGAACCTAGGGCAGTAAAATGTTTGTTTATTGGTTACTCTTCCTCTCAAAAAGGTTATAAATGTTTTGACCTTTTCTCTAAATGTCTCTTTGTTAGTCATGATGTCACCTTCTCTGAAAATGAGTCCTTCTATACTACTCCTTCAATTCAAGGAGAGAACTAGAATGGATTTTAGTCGCTCTTTGAGTACTCTCGTGTTCCCATTCTTTCATCTTCTCTTGAACTTTTGTCTATTTCTTTTATTCCAGAAACAAAAGAAAATGCAGGAGCAGAGGACAAGGACATAAGTGCCTCAGAGAAAGAGCTCAAAGTATACAAACGGAAGACGAGGCAGGGGACTAAACCTCTCACATCCAACGCAGGCCTTGATTCAGACTCAGTGAAAGATTTTAGAAAGGGAAATGAGAATATCATAGAAATTGTAGATGAAAATGATAACGTAGGGAAGAATTCAATGGCATCAAAAAGTGATTCAAACATGCCCATTCGTCTCAGGAAAAAACCCTAAGCCTCTACACAACACCCAATTCAAAAATATATATCATAAGTAGCCTTATCTCCTAGGTATCAAGCCTTCATTGCAAGCATTGATAAGGTCAGTATCCTGAATAACATCCTAAAAGCCTTGAAATCCCCAGGATGGAGAGAAGCTATCTTGGAGGAAATAAAAGCTCTAGAAGAAAATGGAACATGGGAAGTTGTGAATAAACTAAAGAACAAGAAGCTTGTGAGCTGTAAGCGGGTGTTCACCCTAAAGTACAATGCAAATGGGAATCTCAAAAAATTGAAGGCTCGATTGGTGGCTAGGGGATTCTATGGGAATAATTAAAGAGATATTAAAGGGATTCATCCGTAATTATAGAGATTTGATAGGACAGGGGTCATTAGAATTAATATTTGATTTTATTTTCCTTTTACAGACCATTCTTATACGTGTATATATTCTATAAATATTGCTGAATAAAAGTGATCTAGTTCTCCTCTGGCTCATCTTCAACGACATGGTATCAGAGCTTGCAGACACTAACCTTTGCTACTCAGACAGAGACAACAGAACCAGGTGAAAGTCAAACTCACATACCCGACCCACTGCGTTCATAGGTTTAGGCACTTAGACAAACTTGAAAACACCCCAAATGGTGGAACTCCCCTTAGGTTGAGTTCTGCAAAGGGTTCATCTCTAATCCTGATGTCCAAGAAATTCAATGGGACCAATTATCATGAGTGGGCCCAGAGTGTTCAACTGGCTGTTGGAGGCCATGGGAAGCTTGGTCTTATCTTAGGTATATCCAAACCACCAGACGTATCAGATTTGGCTACCTTGGTGAAGTGGGAGACTGAAAATTCTCTGGTGGCTTCTTGGTTAGTTAACATTATGACTCCTCAAATCAGGGGATCCTTTATGTTTCTCCCGACAGCACGAGATATTTAGGATGCAGTCAAGGAGTCCTACTCGAATGGTGAAGATGGTGCTTAAATTTATAATCTCAAAACTCAAAGTTAGCAAATCAAACAGGGTGAGCGTGATCTCACTAAATTCTGTTGGAGTTAGTCTGGGTGTGGCAAGAGATTGATCTTAACATAGAAGCTAAATGGTCCTGTCCTAGTGATGCAGCACGTTATAAAAAGCTTTCTAAAGATGAGCAAGTATTCCAGTTCTTGGCTAGCCTTCATCAATCATTAGATGATGTTTGTAGTCGCATTCTGGCTTGCTCCCCTCTACCATCTACTCATGATGCATTCGTTGAGGTTTAATGTGAGGCTTCTCATTGCAAGGTGATGTTACCTGGACTTTCATCGGCTCTTCCTTCATCTAAGTCCTTTGCCTTAATGAGCAGACAATTTGTTCAAGGCTAAAAGGAATCAAAAGGGAAAATTGTGTGTGAGCATTGCAAAAAGATAGGCCACTCAAAAGTAAAATGTTGGGACCTCCATAGAAAACCACCTAAAGGTAAATTCCGTGGCTATCAAACTACTTCTGATTCTACTTCAAACAAATCTAGTCATGCTTCAGACAAATCGGATACCTTACCTACCATTAACAAGGACAAGTTAAATCAGCTTCTAGAGATGCTTCATACTTTACAAGCCAACCAATCACCTCCATCTCATAATGCTTCCGTTGCTAAAAAAGGTAATTCTCATTTTGCATTCAATGTATGTTCCACTGAATCTGAAGCCTCAAATCACATGACTGCAGACTCTACTTTGTTTACCTCATACTTTCCTTGTACTAGCCATAAGAAATTGACACGGCAAATGGTACCTCCTCTTCCATTGTAGTAAAGGGTAGTATCACTATTTCTAAATTTCTGAACCTTGACTCTATTCTTCATATTCCCTATCTTGCTTGCAATTTACTATCTATCAGCAAGTTAACAAAACAAGCCAAATGTAGTGCTCATTTCTTCTCTCCTCACTGTATTTTCCAAGATCTCTCATCAAGGAGGATGATTGGCAACACTGAGGAGTGTGATGGGCTCTACTACCTTAAAGAATCAACTGAGTAATCTATGGTCCCGAATCTATTGCAACCTTATGTCTACTTCTAAACAAGCTGATCTTTTGTTATGGCATAAAAGAATGGGTTATCCTAATGTCCAATATTTGAGTCATTTGTTTCCCCAATTTTCATCCAATAAAATTTCTAATTTTTATTGCCATGTTTGTGAATTGGCTAAACATCATTGCTCTTCTTTTTTGCAATCTAAATATAAGCCCTCTAAACCTTTTTCCCTTGTTCATAGTGATGTTTGGGGTCCATCTCGTGTCTCTAATCAAACTAGAGCTAAATGGTTTGTCACCTTTACTGATGACCATACTCATGTGCGTTGGGTGTATTTAATGAGATAAATTTAAAGTGCCATCTATTTTTGTTGAATTCTATGCCATGGTTCTCAATCAATTTAACACGTCCATCAAAATTCTCCAAACTGATAATAGCATTGAATATGTCAACAAGTCTCTAAGTGACTTCCTTAAAACTTGGGGTATCATCCAAAAGACTTCCTATGCAAATACCCCCCAACAAAATGGGGTGACCGAACGCAAAAATAGACACTTATTGGATGTTGCCCGTGCTCTTATGTTTGCCACAAATGTGCCAAAATATTTTTAGGGAGATGCCATTCTTACTGCCACCTATCTTATTAATCGAATGCCCCCAAAAATCCTATCATACACCACACCTCCTAAGTGTCTCCGGCAAACCCACTCTCTCACTCATCTTGAAACCGTTCTTCCGCTAAAGTTATTTGGGTGTTCTACATTTGTTCATCTCCATTCCTCTTCCAAACTTGACCCACAAGTTGTCAAGTGTGTGTTTCTTGCTTACTCCTCACGCGAAAAGGGCTATAAATGCTTTGATCCATCTTCTAAACGTTTATTTGTCAGTCATGATGTTACTTTTTCTGAACATGAACCTCCCCATTCATCTCCTTTAATTTAGGGGGAGAGTTGGAGTGAATCTCAGGAATATTCTCCCATTAAGCCTATTGATTCTCTTGACCATCCCACTTTGCTTGAGCCTATTTCTTTTATTCTAGAAACAAAAGAAAATGCAGGTTCAGGGGGAGACAGGAACACAAATGCAAAAGGTAAGGAGATTAAAGTTTACACACGAAAGAAGAAGCATGGTACAAAAGCTCTCATACCTAAAGCAATACCGGAATCAGAACCGATGACAGATTCTATGGGAGATAGTCGTAAAGAAGAAAATGAGAATGGTAATCTTGATGAGGAAAAAGGTTCAAAAAATTTAGAAGATGACCTAGAGTTGCCTATTGCCCTCAGGAAGAAGCCAAGATCATGTACACAACATCCTATTCAGACGTTTCTATCTTATAAAGCCTTATCCCCTGAGTATCAAGCCTTTATTGCGAATGTAGATGGTGTCTGTATTCCTAAAGACATTCATGAGGCCCTGAAAACATCTGGATCGAGAGAAGCTGTCTTGGAAGGAATGAAAGCCTTGGAAGAAAATGAGACCTGTTGAAACTTGATCTCTTAAAGGAGATAGGTATGTACTTGATCTCTTAAAGGAGACAGGAATGTTGGGGTGTAAACCTGTTGAAACACCTATTATTGTTCCAAAGAAGAGGCAAGTATCTAGAACAACAGAAGAAAACTCTGATGAAAAAACTAAACTAGTTGAAGAAGATGAGAAGAAACAGAAACCAATTGATAAAGAGAGACATCAGAGGCTGGTAGGAGAACTTACCTACCTCTCCCACACGACTTGACATAGCCTTCGTAGTGAGTTTAGCTAGTCAGTATTTGTGTGAGCCACAGGAGAAACACATGGACATGGCATAGAGGATCCTAAGGTATCTAGAAGGCACCCTTAGTAAGGGCTTGTTGTTCCAAAAACACGAACGGAGAACCATAGAAGTACACACTAATGCTGATTGGGGTGGACATCACTCAAATAGAAGATCCACTTCTAGTAATTGTTCATTTGTGTGGGGAAATCTGGTTACTTGGAAGAGTCAGAAGCAAAGAGTTGTTCCCAAAAGTAGTGTTGAATCTAAGTTAAAGGCTTTAGCTCAAGGTATGATGGAAGAAATATGGTTAAAAAAGGTGCTAGAAGAAATCCATGTCAGGTTAGACCGACCACTAAAATTGTACTGTGACAACAAGGCTGCCATAAGTATGGCTTTAAACCCAATACAGCATGAGAGATCAAAACATGTAGAAATTGACAGACATTTCATCAGGGAGAAGGTAGAAGATGGAATCATTTGTTTGATTTTCCTACCAGCAAACCTTCAAGCAGCAAATATGTTGACCAAGGGGTTACATAAACCAGCGTTTGAGAATTGTATGAGCAAGTTAGACATGATTAGCATCTATAATCCAACTTGAGGGAGAGTGTGAAATAGGATAAATTAGAGATTAATTATTATTTATTACTCCTGATTTATAGGGATGTGATTAGCCAAGAATATGGGGGGTAAATAAGGGATATGATCTGATTTTATTTTTTTCCCTTTATAACTGATACATGTACACTGTATATATTACACTTGCAATGAGATACTCGACTATTCTGATCCAAAAAGCCTACAAAAGCCATGAGTAGATCATCATCCTATAATAAATTTAAAGGCAAGGAAACTCCTTTGAAGATCCTGGAACTCCTCCCCAACAAATAAACCAAAAATAGTACTTCAAATTTCAAGAAAAATGGCATAACTACACCAAAGCAGTAACCTTATTCATCATATTCCCTAATCCTATAGCACAGTTCCCTAGGCCTGAAACAAATCTCATATTTAACTTAATGATCAATCACAGCATCTCTATAACAACAGCCAAAGAAACTTTCCGTAATTATCCTAGTTCAATCTCCAACCTCTAGAGATCTCCCATATGAAGCCAAAATGATGAGCGCAACACAAGACAAAAGTTCCAAAATTAATGCAAAACCTCCAAAACAATGAAGTCACACAAGCAGCAAAAAGGAGTTATCGATTGAAGGGTTAAAGATAAAGTAGCAACCAAAAAATATGATAACAGTAAAACTTCAACCCAGAAACATGCAAAAAACAACTATATAATAAAAATGCCAAAAAAAAAATTATCACAATGCTTAATCGAAAACAAAATGTAAAGGTCCACACATGGGAAGTGTAACAGCTTGGAATTCACTTATGGATCAATAAAATTGATATATGCAGAAAATTTAGGAGATTGGATTGAACCTTTCTTTCCCAATGCGACGAGCAAGTTCCTCAGCTAAGGCTTGACCAGGTAGATCTCCATCAGTTGCAAGTATAATGCGTGATGCCTGTCAATATGAAGATTTAAAAAGGAACTGAGGAAACCCTTAATTCCTGCACATCCATAATTAAAAGACAATGATTAATATTTACATACCCCCTTAATATAATCTTTGCAGTTCCACAGATACTGATACTTATTGTCCTAGCCTCACAGAAAAGACAAGCATCAAATTATAAGGAAAACACAGGACCACATAATAAAAGATTGGCAATAGATAAGTGAATAAATATTAATCATGTTCAATCTCCTTTAGATCTATGACTATATCGCAATCAAACAAGGGGAAAGCAGAAAAAACTGCAACTTGATATGAAATGACAATTGTACTTTTTAGAGATGATAAAATCAATCATAATTTTATAAGCCCTAACAGTTTAAGTTTTTGGCTGAAGTGGTCCTTGAATATCAAAATTAAAAACTTCACTCACTAAGTAGGTAGGAATTCAATCCTTCATTTTACAGCATTTTTAGGGGGGAACGTCCTTCGTATGGGCATAGTTTTTAACAGCAACCCACAGTGCCTTAGGCAATGGCACAGTAGTGGTCAAGGTTCTCAAACTCATGAGCTTGACTCCATGCAAATTCACAAAAGGTCAAGTTGACTCCATGTTTACATGCTTCAATAAACACACAAACATACATTGTTGTGTCATGTTTCCTTTACCATGGATTCTATAACTGTATTTTAGGTATATGTTTACATAGTTTACAATTTATTTTTTAATTTTGACATAACTCTAATATCTTATCATATCAGCTCTTTTTAAAACTGATAAGGATTTGGAGAAGAGTTAACACAAACAGAAAAGGATTTACACTTTCTCTTTTGGGGACTTAATCCTATCTTTGAAGAAGTTAAGGGGAGAACCATGTCTACTTGACCTTACCTTCACATCGAGAAGCGTTCTATGACAAGGGAAGAAATCAGGAAAAGCTGAGGTGGTGGACAAAATATTCAACATATGATTGAATCTTCTGCTGTGGCTGCTAGAAATAAGGGTAAAGGTGCATTTTTGTCCCTAAAGTATTTCCGAAGGAGCACCCAACAGCCTAACGTTTTTGTTGAAGCAATTTTGTCCTTAAAGTTATTAAAACGGAGCATTTTTGCCCTTTTCGTCAAATTTTCTAACAATCAATGTTTGAAGTCAACATTGGAGTTTTGACGGAAAGGGCAAAAATGCTCCATTTTAATAACTTTAAGGGCAAAATTACTCCAACAAAAACGTTAAGGTGCTGAGTGCTCCTCGAAAAATACTTTAAGGGTAAAATGCCCTTTAACCCCTAGAAATAATACTGCTCCTCACCCAAAACAGCAGAAGGTGGAAAACCATGTTGAGATTATTTTACTAAGATCAGTCACCCAATGCACACATTGAAACTGACTCATTGAGAAGCCATGTAATTGTAACCCCTCCATGACTCAACTTAAAAAATCCAATACTTGGATATTTGACTCCATTTCCACATACCATGTGGTAGTTGATGTTTCTATTCTTGATACATTTGTTCGATGTCCTGATTACTTTTGAAACAAAAAGTAAAGTGAGTGGCCTAGGAATTGCAGTAAGTTTGAATATGATTTCAAAGCATATGCTTATTGGATAAATTACACAGCAGCCTAATGTTTGTTAAAAAACTTGCTAAAGATTTCTAATGCTAGTTTAAATCTTATACTCATGGCAATTTCTAGGGATCTTGGGAAGAAGACTAACAATGCTAGGAAGAAAGGACTGTGCTAGGCTTTGTTATTGAAATTTAATGTGAATTAACGTCTCAGTTTCTGTTTTTTTCATAAACGTTATACATATAAAGGAGCCTAGGGCCATAGCAGTAAATCTCATAATCAGATCTAATTACTAAAATCTTTGACTATTCTAGTATAATTTTCCAATAACAGAAACTCATAAATATAATAACAGCAGGATCTGAATTATTAACCCTAACAACTAAATAGGCTAATAAGCCTTTGGGCAAAGGCCATCGGCATTCACCAACACTCTCCCTCTAGCTGGTGAATAGATGGTTATCATTCCCAGCTTGCTTGCTAGATTCTCAAACTTGGGCTTAGCTAAGGATTTTGTGAGCACATCAACAGTCTGCAATCTTGTTGGAATATATCTCATGTTTGGTCCTATCATGATGAATATGATTCTTTACAATCCATATAGTTTTCTAGATTGTCACAAAAGAATCACATCAACCTGTCATACTCAATTTTAGTTCTTTGACCGATCATTCAATCCACAAACCTTCACAAATGCCATGTGCTAGTGCTTTGAGCTCTACTTTAGCACTACTTCTCAAAACTACAAATTGTTTCTGACTTCTCCATGTTGCCAAATTATACTATATGAAGGTGGTTGGGTTGACTAGAAAATGGGCTCACCATGCTTACAGGATATGCTATATCGGGTCTAGTAGGGATAAGTATATCAGTTTCCTAGCTAGATGTTGATATATATCTTTATCTACAAGAGGGCAGCCTTTTCTTATTCCTAACTTATGATATAATCCCACGAGAGTAGCAGCTCGCTTACAATCAAGGATCCCTATTTCTTGAAGAAGATCGAGAGTATATTCGAGCTATGATGCCACAATTCCATACTTTGACTGTGAAACTTCCAAGCCAAGAAATACCTTAAGGATGCAAGATCCTTTAGCAAGTAGTCTCTTGAGGCATTCAATTCACTGAGATCATCTCCAATAATAAATGGTGTCGTCCACATTGACTATGAAGATAGCA